GAGCTTGCATTCCCAGCACCCACATAAAGCCAGTCTGGTCTGCCTTGGATCTGCAAGCCCAGTGTTGGGGCAAGGGACACACTGGGAGGTGGGTCCCTGGAGCTCATTGATCAGCCAGCCCCGCCTAGTCTCAGTGTCCTCCAGGTTCAGATGGAGACCCTGTCTCAGAGAGCAAGACCCCCCCTTTGTCAGTCTGTGCCCATTCTACGCATGTACATTTGCACTACACACACACACACACACACACACACACACACACACACACACACACGAGCAATATCAACAACAAAAGCCCAAACCCACTGAAACCTAAAGAGAAGGTGAGTAGAGGCACTGAGAGAGAAGCATAGTAAACATTGTAACAGCGTTGAACCAGCGTCTGTAGAAGGAGTCCCCAAGACAGATATCTGATGGCACGTGATATACACTTAAGGATATTCATTGTTCTCACTGAGGGACACTGGAAGTGTTTGGGAGCATCTGCTATCTTCCACCCTCTGCTTTAGGTGCTTAGAAGAGGCAGTACAATCACTTTATCTTTTTTTTTTTTTTATTTCTCTCCTCCCTTTCCCTCTCTTCCCCCACCCCTACCCCCAGCTTGAAGAGGACAGAGGCAGCATCAAGGAGCATTTCATATGCATACAACTAGTGTTTTTGAAAGCTGAAATCTCAGGGTAGGAAGCCTGAACCAGAGGCATGATGAATGGCTGCCCCCTCTTTCTTGAAGGCTGGAGACAATGGCAGGGAGCTTCAGAACTGGCCCTGTCCTGCTCTGCTGCTGCTAAGGCACACTCTGAAGATGTGAGGAATCAGTTCCTGTTTGGCTAGTCCTGGCTGACCCCAACATCAACTCCCTTGACTGGAAATAAACAGGATCTTCCTTTGTGTCCCCAGGAATGCAATGGAGGAAGAACTCCAACGGAAAGGGTCTCTTTTGCCAAGGAATAGCAGCAAGGGTGACAGGGGGAATACAGTGCTTCTTCCCCTTTCCTCCAGGGTGGCCAGGAAAGGTACCTTGTTGAGCTTTCCTACTCTCTCAATGAGCCCCATTAGAGTGCCAGAATCACAGGTCCAGAGGTCCTGCCATGTTTGGACTTCCTGTTTTGTAAGGCTCATGAGTGCACTCACCCATACTGGGCCATGCATCTTCTTTAGATGATGCTGTCACTGGTTTAGAAACCACAACCAGTGACAGCATCCCTCCCTCCCTCCCTCCCTCCCTCCCTCCTTTCCTCCCTCCCTCCCTCCCTCTGTGACAGCATGTCTTATTGATATGTGACTGCAGATGTCCCAGGCAAGCTGAAGGGTGTATACTAGCTGACAATGTCCCCAGTGAGTCTGCAGGAGACTCTCAGTGTAGAAGAGGGTGATGACAATCAAGAGTAACCCCAATGCTTGCCTGAGTCTACCTTCTTTCTCAGTATTCCTGGGGGCAGAGGTGGAGTTGCTCTATCCATAATCCTCAACAGGGCATTTCTTCCTTGTCTACTTTTATAAACTCCTTACATTTCAAGAACTGTTTGTGTAGGCCCCAAGCCAGCATTTCCCCTACCCCTGCAAAAAGGAGGACCACTTTACTTAATTTCTCTTTTTATTCAATCAGAAGGAAGCAGAAGGATGTCTCCCTCTTCCCCTTTCTATCTTCTGTGGTTTAGGGAGATAGGATCTTTTGTCCCTTCATCTTTTGCTACCCCCCTCCCCTCCCTCCTCATCCTCTCCCCCATTGTTCCCTTTCTGCAGACCAACCCCTGGGAGCTGATGGGCAAAAGCACAGGTAAGGCTCTCAGCCTGAGCCTTCTGACAGCTACACCAGGGGACTGCGAACACGAGAGTGTGAACACTTGTGTCCTCCTAAAGTTCAGATTTCAAGACCTTAACCCTTTGGTCTTTGGCACATGGTACATCACGAGAATGGGGCCCGTGTGATAAGATTAATGCCTTTGGTGCACACTGCGCCCCCCCCCCCCAGAGCACAGAGAAACACAACTGTCTGTAACCATCTAATGGGCTCCCACCCCACACGGAACCTGCTGGTGCCTGATCTCAGACTTCTCGTTCTCCAGAAATATGAGGAATGACTTGCCAGTTGTTAAGTCACCATCTAGTTTATGGTTCCCAGCGTAGCCGCTGGGGCAGTCTAAGACAGTCACTCTGACCAAGAACTTTCTGTAGTTCCCTATAGTACACATTAAAACCTCCCTCAGATGGAGCTATCCTGAAGTTAATTTTGCAATCTTCCCGTGATCCTTGCACACACTGTCAAACTGGCTTTCTTGGTGTGTTCACTGAGTGGTGACAGGAACCATTGGGGAGGCATTTCCTGGCAAAACTAAAAACTCCTTTAAGTCTAGGTGAGGATAGGGACTAATGGAACTATAAAAAATAGATATTAAAAAATCCCAAAACTTTTATTACATTTATTTATTTTTTTTTTGTGTGTGTGTAACATACAGGTACTGGGCCCTCCCTCCCTCCTTTGGTACTAGGGATCGGCCTAGTGCCTTGCACAGCTAGGCAAGCTCTTTGCCAGTTGAGCTATCCCTCCAGCCCTGAAAGAGATGTTGAAGATCACACTATATCGTGGACTATTAGGAATTGAATGGGAAATACTGGAAGATTTTGGGTTTCAAAATGATCCCCTGAGGTTCTGTGGAGGAGGGAACAGCAACAAGACAGTGTGTGTGTGAAGGGGAACAAGCCTTGTCCACTTTGGTGTTGGTGGTCGACAGTGTCTGCCTAATAGCCTTGCCTCAGAAGATGCAGCTGTGTGTGGAGGAGGGCGGTGGGAGGGTCCCTGCCTTTGCACGGGCTTCTCTGAATCACCTTCTGCTTAGGGTCCTTGTTGGCAGATTGAGGGGAGGGGTGGCAGCAGGTAGGGGGAGAGGACAGAGTGTCACAATGACCAGGGCTCTGAACCATTTCTTTCCTTTCAGGCAGGAAACCCAAGTGGATGATGGGCAGAGACACTAGCCTGCGCTGACTGGAGGAGGCACCAGGCTTTGGGAGGCTCCCTTTCATCCTCTTCTCCCTGGAAAGTAGCTTTTTTGTTTTGCCTGTCACTCGCAGCGTTTCCAGGAACCTCCTAAAGTAAATATAGTTGGGGTGCTTTTCCACAGCTCTGCTTGGCTATGGCCACTCTTTCTATGGGACATGTGTGAAAGAGGAGCGGGCGGGTCCGCCTTCCTGCTGCCTAGAGATGGGCTAGGAGCAGGGCCCAGAACAAAACTCGACCACCATCATTGCTGTCATCATCAGTGGCATAGCCAGGGGCTTCTAAGTACTACTTAAACAATGACAACCAAAGCCCCATAACTGTTCTCCGGTATGGAGGCGGCAGCACAATTATCAGCAGTGCTGCTGAGCTGTGTGCCTGACCTGAGAGTAAGACAGGGATTCAGCCTTTCCTCATCTAGATGTTGACATCCATCTGTGCAGAGAGCAGAATGGGCGAGGCAGGACAGGGGCTCAGAAAGTGATACTTCACAGTACAAGGCTTTGGTAGGGGGAGCATTTTGAATTAAAGGAAAGGGGGTGGACAGTGTTTCAGCTGGCAGACCACTGCCAATGCTGAGGACCTGAGTTAGTTCTTCTGGACCTACATAGTAGGGGGAGAGGACCAACTCCTGAAAACTGTCCTCTGACCTCTTCATGTGTGAACATGTGTAGATGTTACAATGTGCACACACACACATACACACACACACAGAATGTAATGATAATTTAAAAAATAGAGGAGAAGGAAAGGCCCTAGGGCAACCTCAGAAGTGCTCTTGTTCCTTTCTCCAGCACCCTTTCTCTAGAAATGAGTCACAGAAACCAATATTTTACTTCCCCAAGGCGGGCCCTAAGGACCAGAGCCTTTCTTCCCAGAGCCACCTTCCAGGGTCAGAGCTGGCTGTCAAGAAATTCTCTGATAGGGAGTCACTAGACCCTGATCCCAGAGGAGTCCCGGAGGGAATGCTGCACAGGACTGTAATCTGTTCACTCAACATTACAGCCTTTGCTCCATCACATTCCTGTTCAGCCGTCTCAGCTTCACCCAGTCTAAGATGTATCTTTGCAGACACATAACCACATGCACACACTCACACACAATTCCCTTCTCTGCGAACTGGGTCTCACGAATACCTCTTCCCTTGCAGGAGGAGGGGGAGGAGGAGGAGGAGGGGAGGAGGAGGAGGAGGAGGGGGAGGAGGAGGAGGAGG